GGGAAGTTTGGGGAAATTTGGGGAGATATGGGGGAGATGTGGGGAGATGTGGGGAGATGTGGGGAGGTGTGGGGGAGGTGTGGGGAGGTGTGGGGAGGTGTGGGGAGGTGTGGGGAGATGTGCACCACGTGGTGGGCGAGGACGTTGGTCTTCATCGGCACGAGGAGCAGGTCGAAGGTGAAGAAGAGGCCGAACACGTATCCGAACGCCCACTCCCATACCTGTCGGTGCGACGAGCCCGCGGCTAGAGTTCACACGCAGAGAGAGTCGGTCTCACCGCGTCCGTCCTCCGCGGACGCGGAAGACGCAGTGCTGCTGCCCTCCCCACTGTCTAGTGTCCACTCTGACTGCCTCTGTGTGAGTACGCAGAGGTGAGAGGGGTGTGTCGCCCTTCTGAATGCCTCGATGATGCGGCAGACGGCGCCGCCGGCGAGGGCCGACTGTGCCCGCGGTGCGGCGTATGGCGTGGTGGATGGCTAGCGGCGACAGACAGGGTTGGCATGATCTTGTCAGCTCCTGCGCTCGCTGTCTCTCCCTCGATTGCTTGCCGCCTCCGCCGCCGCCGCTACTGCCGCCCCCCCTCCCGCCTCCACCCTCACTGCCGCCCCCCCTCCCTCCTCCGCCGCCGGGACCGCCAGCCTGCCTCGGTGCTCCCCTTCTGAACGTCTCTCCGGTGTCTGTCGTCGAGACTGGCGAGCGGCTGGTCTCTGGTCTCTGGCCCGGGGCTGTGCGCTTGTGTGAGTACGCGGCGGGCAGGGGTGTGACGACGGCCTCGTGCCATGTCCTCGGGGCACCGCGTGCGCACACGCAGATGCGAGCGCAGAGAGGCTGTAGGACGGCGGAGAGTCGCGTACCCTCAGTGTCTCCGAGACCTCGCGAGCGGGCAGGGATTCACAGCAGGGCAGTGTGGGCTGGGGTGGGCAGGGCGGTGTGGGTTTCACACCCGGGGCAGGTAGGGGATCGGGCAGGCCAGTTGTGCGGCAGTGTGCGGGCAGGGCAGTGCGGCAGGGCAGGGCAGGGGCAGGGCGCAGCAGTTGGGTCTACAGCGGAGCGCAGCGTGGTCTGTCGGGTCTATCCCCCGCGTCTAGGCGCGCGGCCGCACCCCCGACGGCGTGCGCAGCCACGCCTCGTTCCACCGCTCGAGCCGCCGCGGCGTGGGGAAGAGCGGTGAGCCGCCCCCTTTCGACGCACACAGCGCCGCGAGCAGCGCCGGAAGGACGCCGAGCCTACGCGCTGAATGCGCCAACCTCGGGGGCGGGAGGACGGTCTTGTGCAGAGTGTAGCCCCGCGGCAGCGCGAGGGATGCGGATACAGTGAGCACAGCGGGATGTGGTCGAGTACAGCTGAATGCGTGCCCTCTCGAGCTTTGGTTGGAGTGCAAAGATGCGTGTTCCGCGTCTACAGTCACTAGCTGCATCCCCACGCCAAAAGCGCAGCGCCAGAAGGGCACTCCGCCTCCCGACTGCATCGAGTCGCCTGTGCTCACAGCTGGAGGCGTGAAGCAGACGCCGCTCGCGCGGCCGCGGTGTGGACCGCGCCACTCTCGCCGAGGTAGCCTCGGAGCACGCCGCGCGCCGCATACGCAACCACCACCTGAGGCGAAGAGAGAGGCGGCATAGGCATGTGAGCAGACTCTCGCAGGCGCCGCGCCGCCGCGCCGGCGGACGCAAAGCGAGCGCTAGTGTGGCGCCGCGGCGCTGTCTCGCCGCATCGTAGCCTCTCACCCACGCGGCTCCTATCAGCCGGCCGAGCGCGTGCGAGTCGGCCGGCGACGTCTGCGACGTGGCGTGCGCAAGGCGCCGCGCGGTCGGAGCCTGCCACAGGTTGCCAAAGCTCGACGACTCCTTCATCCGGCGGGACCAGGCTGTGTGTGCTCTCCGATCGGGCGCCCTTCGTACTGTGGTTGTGTCAGGCGATTTCTTCTTTTTCTAGAAACCCAAACAGCCTCGAGTAATATGAGTTGACCTCGCGTACTGTATTCCACGTCCTGACCTAATTAATTAAGTAATTAATTAATTGCGTATTGTATTCCGCGTCGGGTATTCGTAAGTATTCCAGGAGCGGAGGAAGGAGCGGGCGGCGCGGCGGAGCGTCTCGAATCAGTGCAGTGTGCCGCCACCCACGCTGTAGATGGACAGAGGAACCAACAGAGCGCAGTGGGAAGGGGAAGGGGGGAGAGGCTGCGAAGGGCGAGGGGGGGTGGAAGGGGGTGGGCCGTGCTATGCCACCTGCCTCGTGCGCACCTCTATTCTGCTCCGGAGTGACTCGCCACCGCCATCCCTGGGCCCACTGGGCAGTCGTGTGAGGGGCCGCCCCCTAGTGGGTCCCCCGACTGACCCGTAAACCAACTATGTTCGGAGCCTGGATAGGGTGTAGGCCGTTCGGAAGGTGGGTCGGGAGGGGATACCCCGCTAGGAATAGTCTCCCCCGACCCCGCCCGCCCGCCCGCCCGCCTGCCCTGCCCGCCTGGCCGATAAGATCTCTTCACCTTCTCATTGGTGGAGTATAGGTACGAGGGTGGTGTGGCATCTCTTGCGGGTCTCGCCAGGGGCGCCTACTAACCTCGCTTGCGAGGGGCGTGTGGCATGTCTGAACGGACTCGTGAGGGGCGCCTGCCAACCTCGCTTCGCCGAAGCGGCGCTCGGTACCCACACCCACCCCGCCGCATTCGTCGCCGGCGCGCGACACGTTCCCGTCGGCTGGACTGCCCTCGTCGAGTGCGTGTCGCCAACCAAGGCGGAACGCACTCAGGGACAGTGCCGGCGGGACGCGGCTCGAGAGGCGGCTCCCGCGGAGGCACGGCTGGCACCCGTGGCGCGGGGCTCGTCTTCGGAAAGACCAGGATCGCTCTACTGGCAAACTTCTGGCTGACACGCGCGCCCGGTCGAGCCTTCGGCGGGCGCGCTGCGGTCGCACGCCTACCCAAGTCATATGCCACGGCGTGCGATCTAGATTCAGCACACGCGCCTCTGCTCGCAACCACTCATCCAATGAACTGTCGTCACCCATGAGTGCGAGTTAGGGCTAGCGGCTGGCCAATAGCCTGTGAGGAGGGCGTCCATAGACACCTCACAAGACCCCACACACGGTCTCGTCCGTGCCTTGCGGCCGGCGACGAGATTGCTAGAGGCGGAGCAAGCCTGCTCTAGTCTCACACGTTCGCCCCTGTCGCCTGTCTGTGTTGTTGTGCTGTTGTTTGTCTCTTGGCACCTTGGAGTGCTGGGGGGGGCGACAGGGGGGACGTGGCCTGAGTGATGTGTACGCCCACTCAGGATGTGTGGCAGCCCGCTGGCTGTGTGTCTTGTGAGCTTGTTTGTGTCTGTGTGTCGCTCGTGCGTGTCGTCATCATCTGTCTTGCGTCCACCCATACCGCGTTGGTGTCCAGTCCGAGCCTGACTGTTCTTCACCTTACTACATACATACAGCCTTCCCATCAATCAATCAATCAATCAATCAATCAATCAATCCAAACACAGGCGGCGACGAGCTCGTAAAGGAGCACAAGTTGCGAGCGAGACAGCAGCCATGACGATGATGATTCAATAAATAAAAACGGACACCTCTACTGTACCACGGAGCACTGCTTTTCCGAAACGTCTCTGTTCTTGGGCAGGGTTCTTTTGTGGCATGTGGGTGTGGTCGGCGACGAGAGCCGGGGTCGTCCTCCCGAGGGGGGGGACTAGCCCCTAAAGCCGTAGCGCGCGCGAAAGCGTGGTATCTGACAGGTCCCACGTCGCTCCTTTGACGCCGACGTGACTCACCCGTCAGATCACATCAGGACACGGTCTCGACGCGCTCGGTACGACGCCTGCGACCCGTCTCGGGTCAGGTGGCACGACGCTCATCGCGCCTGTGCCAGCGCTGCCGTGCAGGTTGCCACGACGAGGTCGAGCACGCTTCTATACGCTCGCCCAGCCTTCCTTTCCATCCCATTAGGCAGCCTGGGAACGGTGGCGGTCAGAGGCAAAGCCTACGAGGGGTGGTGGAACCACATGTCACGGCCACCGCCGGCTCGACCCCACGATAGCGGCCTCCGAAGGCTGACTTTGAGGCACAACCATCGGACGATGTCGACGAATTGGGTCGCTCTCGCGGTAGCCAGATGGCCTCCCATACTACAGTATCATCGGCCATGGCCGCAGGAAGCGCGGGGGAGGGCGCTGGGAGCAACACGGAGCTCCGTGTTGGACGCCAATCCGTGTCCCCTCATCCCTCGTCACAACCCGACACGGAAGAGCGGCAAGAGTGTTGGGGCTGCGGCTACGGCTGCGGCTAGAGCCGTACGAGAGGGGCCGGGCGGTCGCGGGAGAGCCGCTGCGCCGCGTGTTTTCAAGATTAGCGTGTCAGAGTGAAATCGAACTAGCCTCACTGCACAAGGTCTCACTCCTCTCAATCTCTATAAGAAAGACTAGAGATTTCCATGACTTAACATATCGCGGCGCCTCCTCCTGTCAGATCTCCCCCCGCTCTCCCAGCACCATCTGCCACCACGCCAGCCCCCCCCCCGGCGCGGCGGCGCGCTCGAGCCCGCGCACGTAGCACTTGTGGTGCGCCGCCGCGTCGGGGTGCACCGCCCGGTGCAGGTGGAGCACCCGATCGCGCTGCGCGCGCGGCACGCGTCGCGCGCCCCCGCCGGCAGGGTCGAGGTAGACTAGCTCTCCCCCAGGCCAGTGCGCGTACCCTCCCAAAGTCTCGAGGGCGCCAGTGCTGCTCTTGCCGCCGAGGGAGAGGGCGGCGGCGCGCAGCAGCGGCACCTCGAGCGGAGCAGAGAACTAGCCGAGATGCGGCCGAGATGCGGCCGAGATGCCGCCGAGATGCCGCCGAGATGCCGCCGAGATGCCGCCGAGGTGCCGCCGAGATTTGGCCGAGATGCCGCCGAGATCTGGCCGAGGTGCCGCCGAGATCTGGCCGAGGTGCCGCCGAGATCTGGCCGAGGTGCCGCCGAGATCTGGCCGAGGTGCCGCCGAGGTGCCGCCGAGATGCCGCCGAGATGCCGCCGAGGTGCCGCCGAGATGCCGCCGAGATGCCGCCGAGATCTGGCCGAGGTGCCGCCGAGATTTGGCCGAGATTTGGCCGAGGTGCCGCCGAGATCTGGCCGAGGTGCCGCCGAGATTTGGCCGAGATCTGCACCTCCGAGCCGAGCAGGCGCGGCACGGCGTCGGCGCCAAAGACAAAGGACTGCGCCCGCACCTTGGGTCAGGCGGGCGGGTGCGGCGGGGCAGGGGGGAGAGTGCGGGGCAGGCCATGGGCCGCAGGGCGGGGGAGAGGCGGAGTTGTGCGCCCTCACCCGCCGCATCGCAGCTCCGCGGAGCTGGCCGTGGAAGGCGGCGGGGGATCCGTACGTGAAGGCGAGCACCTGAGAGGGGCGAGGGGCGGTGAGGCGCCTGAGAGGGCGAGGGGGGCGGTGAGGCGCCGGGGCACTCGTCCACACACGCGAGGGTGGTGGGGCGAGGAAGCACCTCCCTAACCCTAACCCTAACCCTAACCCTAACCCTAACCCTAACCCTAACCCTAACCCTAACCCTAACCCTAACCTCTGCGGGCGCGTCCTCCGCACCCGCGTCGCCACTGGCGCAAGGCAGCAAGCCGGCGCCGAGCAGCGTCATCGCTAGCGCGCCGCCGAGGCTGTGGCCGCACAGGGCGAGCCTCTCACACGGACGGACGCGCAGCTCCGCCTCGACCACCTCGCGCAGCTCCTACCACGCTGGACGGACCAGTCATCCCATGGTGCGTCTGTGTCTTCCTCCCCTCGACCGCCTCGCGCCGCTCCTCGGCCGCCGCGCGGGCGGCGCGCAGGAAGCCCGAGTGGAACGCGTCGCCCGCGCCGGTCTGCTCGGGCGCAGCCATCAGGTCGTGCACCACGTCGGCGAGCGAGGCGGTGCCGCGGAAGGCGACCCAGAGGGTGCCCGACTCGGCGTCGCGCGCGACCAGCCACTGCGCTCCTTTCGAGTCGCGCTGCGGCGAGAAGCGGACGAGCTCCATCCCGGAGCCGAGAAGCGCGAGGCCAGCCTCGACCTCGCGCCTCTTCTCGGCGTACGCGAGCCACGACAGCCGCGCGCCGAGCAGTGGCGCCTCCAGCTCCGCCGGCGACAGCCTCTCACCGCCGTCGACCCGCGGCAGGCTGAGCTCCGCCCGCGAGGCGTGGCTGAGGCTGTCGGCGGCCTGGCTGATCCAGCGCCGCCAGTCGTTTGCGGCGGCGACCGGCGCGGCCAGCAGTGCGACCCATAGGGCGGTGCACACACACTTGCACATGCACACGTATCTGATGTGCCTGTTGTGTTCGTCTGCGCCAGTCGCGGGGGGCGGGGCGGGGGGCGGGGGCGCCCGCGCGGCTCGTCTGAGAATTCTTTTACCTTCCATCGGCGTTCTGTGGCGCCGGCCGCGCTCCTCTCCCTCTCGGCGCTCGTAGCGGCCAAGCTCAGCGAGGCCCGGGTCACGCCCGCGGCCTCGCTCCCGATGGCGGCCGCGCAGCCGACCATCAACCTCGACGAGAGCATCGCGGCTCTCGCGGCGCGCGCCCACGTCTCTGCGCATAACAAGGACATGCTGCGGGACAAGATGCTGCAACAGGGCGTGGGCAACGTGGCGGAGCTGCTGACTGCGATCCAAGGCGGCACGAGCGCTCAGGTTTCTTCTTTTCCTGGTGCCGACCATCCGGAACATGAAAGCTGGCGGCGCCGCGGCGGGGCGGCGTGGTGGCGGGCGCATTGGGCGCAGCTAAACGTCGGGCAGTGGCTCAACGTCGTCGAGCCGTGCTGCCTCTGCGGGCGGCCCGGGTCGGCGGGCGAGTTGTGGCGGGCGGGCGCGTGGCGGTGGGCTAACTCGACAGGCCGCTGCGCGGCGCCCTATCTCGCCACCACTGACGATGGGTGGGAGGTGCCTGGCCTGCGCCAGGCATACGTCGCGCATGGCATGTGCGGCGGGCTCTGCCGAGGATGGGGCTGCTGCGAGGCGCGGGGCGTGGCGCAGCCGCAGGATGGGAGCGGCGAGGCGCGAGGCGAGGGCGAGGGCGAGGGCGAGCTAAGCTCGGATGGCGACTCGGACGGGGGGGAGGAGGGCGTGGACTGGCTTGCGGGAGACCCTACGTGGGGCTCGGCGGCTCTGGAGGACGAGTGGCGCGCCGCGTCTCTCGCGAGGCAGGCGGTAGGCGACGCGGCGTACGCCGCGGCGCATGCTGCTGGCGCTTCGCGGGCTGAGGCGTGCGACGCCGCCGTGAGGGCGGTGAGGTTGGACGAGGTTGAGGCTCAGTCCTCGTTCCTCGTGCGCGCTGGGTGGTACGGCTCCGGCCGTGATGGGGGCGGGGAGGGGGCGGGGGCGACGGCCGCACGGAATCGCCGCCGGCGGGGGGCGAGGGCGCGGGCGAAGGAGGAGGAGCCAGAGCCCGGGGAGGATTGGGAGGGGGAGGAGCGGCCGGAGGAGTACGCCGGCCTCTTTGACGACCCGTAAGGGGCCGTCGCCTGCTGTGCCATTTGTAGTGCCAGTCCGAGCCAGTCTGCTGTGAGAGGGGCTAAGGTAAGGTAAGGTAAGGTAAACTTCTCCACACACACGAGGTGGTGGGGCAAGGGGGGGCAACCCTCGCGTCTCCACGTCTGACGACAGGAGCCCCACGGCATTCAAAGTGCAAGGCCCAGTGCGCGTGGGTGAGCGGTGTGTGTGTGTGTGTGTGTGTGTGTGTGTGTGTGTGTGTGTGTGTGTGTGTGTGTGTGTGTGTGTGTGTGTGTGTGTGTGTGTGTGTGTGTGAGGGGCTTGTATGGTAAAATTCTTTTACCTATAGTCCTATAGAGCACTTGAGCACTGGATAGGGTCGATTCCGCATGGTACGGGACCCCTCGATCGTCTCGCCCTCCCTCGCTGGAGTGCTCATTGGGGGGGGTCATAACAAACACGGTACAGGATCGAGGTGCACGCTGCAGGAGCAGTGTCGTCCCCCCTCTCCCCGACGGCGATGGCGGTGTGACCGATCGAGCTACAAGAGGCTTGTTCAGCAGGATCCGGGATAGTCAGATGCACTACCTCACTGGGCCTGAGACCACCGTACGACAGCATCCCGTCACCGTCTCGGATTTATGTGGGGTCGAACCACTCCGGGATGGGCAAGCCCATCAATTTTCGTTTCGTATCTCCCCTGCACCTGCAGGAGAAGGCGAGAGAGGGATGAGTGGAGCTGGGCCGGAAGGGGAGAAGAGGAGAGGCGGGGGCGGGGCAGGGAGGAAGGGAGGGGGGGGGGGGGTGCTCCAGGCGGGGGGGCGCAAAGGAGGGGGGGGGGGGGCTCAGATGGTCGAAGACTGCAGTCATAGCAACTTGTAGACGTAGTCCTATAGTACAAGCACGCGCCAGTTCGCTCCTGTGTCGAGCCTGGCTGTGTGTCTTATGAGCTTGTTTGTGCGTCTGTGAGTCGCTCGTGCGTGTCGTGTGTCGTCATCATCTGTCTCGCGTCCACCCAGTCCGCGTTGGTGTCCAGTCCGAGCCTGGCTGTCCTTCACCTTTTATCTACCTAACGCCTACTAGCTCCTGGCCTCTCAATATAAGACTTGTGTAACAACACACACACATCAAGATACAACTTCGCTTCCCAGTGCGCTTCCGGCGGCTTCCGCGCTACTCGACACATCACACACGCACCAAAAAGGTGTCACGAACTGCGGTCGGCCGGCGTGCGCTGCGCGAGGATCTCCGCCGCACGGGACGGCTTCATTGCGTCGATCGCCGCGTCGCTGTACCCGAGCCCGGACAGCTCCTCCCGCATGGCCCGCGTAATCATGAACTGCACAGAAGCCACGTACTCGCCGGCGCCGCCGCCGGCCGGGCCGGCGCCGCCGCCAGCGGAGGACGGCGCGCCGCCTGGGCCTCCGCCCCTCGCCTCGCGCGACGGACCGCCCTTTGGGTACGCGACCTTGGACGCGAGCCACCCGTAGCTGCCGCGCCCGTGCTGCCCAGGGTACCCCCCCGGCTGGCCCTGCTGCCCCGGCTTGCCCTGCTGCCTTCGTAGCCGCGCCATCTCCTCCGCAACCTTCGCCTCCGCCGCCCGCGCCCTGTCCTGCAGCCGCTGCTGCGGCGGCGGCTGCGGGAAGCCTTGCGAAGCCCGCTCGCGCTGCTGCAGCAGCTCGCGCTCTCGTTGCTGCTGCTGCTGCATGCCCTGCATGCCCTGCGTCGCTCCTCCCACGCCACTCATGCCGGGCACCGCACCTCCCATCCCTCCCCCAAGTGCCGCCCCTCCCACCCCAGGCGCCGGTCCCGCCATGCCAGGCCCCGCCCCCCCGTCCGGCCTCCCCCCTCCCCCCGCCCCCGGAGGGTACCCAGCGCCCTGCGAGCCGCCCGCGTACTTCCCCCCCCG